ATATTATAATCAAACATTATCCCTAATCGATGTCATTTAAACGATGGACAATTAATGACCATTTGACATTAGTGTGTAGTCTAATTTATAGCACCGTTTTTTGAGCTACAAGGACATGATCGTCATGAATCATTTGCACAAGTATTGGTTTAGAACCATACTGGATTGACCTATGAGAATACTTTAAGAGATTAAAAATTGTCATAAGTATACTTCTCATTAATGCTATCGGAACCTTTTTCCTTGACCATGAGTATTGGGAGCTTTCTTTTTGAGTACTAGACCGCTTTGATGATTGTCAAACGTCTGCCGTAATAGGAGATTATAACGGCATCACTCGGGCGGCTAGGTCCTCTTAGTAAGAGAAGCTACATTACAAGACTGGAAATGTCCCCCTACTAAAATAGAGAAGATGTCTTTGTTGTTTACAAGGACTCTCGTAGAGCGAGACAGTAAAATTATTCATGGATGTGCTCGGATGGAATTTAGAAATCATCTGTGTATTGACAGTCAGACTCGGAATCGAGAAACACTTCCGGACGTAATAAGGATGACAAATAAATCTTACCTTAAAGTTCATGAAGAGGCATTAAGCGACATAGGAAAAGGGCTATACATTAAAAGCACACTTGTCCTGAAGGACAAGTGGGAGATTGAAAGGAATGGTGTCCTTCGAACAAGTGTATTATTCTGATAGTGGGTTCAGAATTATTATAAATCTAATATATTCAGTAAGGTCAAGTGATTGGAATGCCTGGGTGGAGGTCGCTTTCGATCAGTAATATTAATGCATAATTAATATTACATCTTAATCTTAACTGAACCCTTCAGGTCACACCCAAGCAACTAACGAGCCGAAGCGACGAATTAATTCGAAAGGAATTAATGAGTCGACCGAGTAATTTATATTTAGACATCGAAAATTCGAGCTTGGAGCGTCGAAACCGAGCGTTGGAGAATCTCAAATGTCGAGCAATAATTTAAGAATTGGCGAGACGGGAAAATGCTTCAAGTAACAAGCAAAAACCCTAGCCACGCAAAAACAAGGGAAGCGACCAAATAGGAGTGTGCCACGTGGCAGCACGCATGGTAGCATGCCATGTGGCAGCACACGTGACAGCACACGTGGCATCCACGTTAGTAGCCACCAGGTGGCAGCATGCCACGTTGGCAGAGCGCCATGGTGGCAGCGCTTGTGGCAAAAAGTGGGTCGTGGACCCGGGTGACGGGACATGGACTCAGGCCAAAAGAAAGTGGCCCAATCGAACCCAACTTGGGGCTCATGGTTGGGTGACACATGGTTAGCTCACAATCCATGTGAGTTGCCTTGGAGACCAAGTGAGAAAGTGGTCCTCACCTAACCATGTGACACTTGTTACTTGTTCCTTGGTTTATTTAACTAAGGGTTGAATTCATCAATCTTTCCATGTGGGATCTTTTTGTGAAAAAGTCCCACATTGTAAGATGAGTGGAATTCACACGGAAGCTTTCCTTATAAATAGCTAAGGCATGGCATGGGATTTTTCACTTGAGTAAGAGTTGGAAAAATGATCACTAGTAGTGAAAACATTTGAACTCATGAGTTGAAAAAGGTATCACATTTGTGAAAGCCTTTGAACTCAATTACTCGGGTTTATAGGTCAGGTCCTGCTAACCCCAAGACATTGGACCTAGTCGGTGATCGTGTTGCGGGTGGATCATTGTTGGAGGCCTTCGTAATTTCGAGGCTAGCTTTCAATTAAGAGCCCTAGTGGTCGGGCGAAGTACGCTCCAAAGGTAATCTTATTATCTTAATCTTGTCATTAAGTTTATTATGTTTATGGTTTTATTTATTGCGAGTGCGGTTTGTTTTTGGGTTTATTTCTGTGGTGAGTCGAACTCACCAAACCCTAACAGAAGTTTGTTCACCAAGTTTGAGATGACGGAGCTGCCAGTCCAAAGGTTGGACATTGTATGCTGCCTGACCCCCAAAGAGGGTCGACTTCATGAAATGAGGAGAATACGGATTGTAGACCATAGGGGGTACGTACGGTGCATTCCCAATCATCTAAGGGTCAAAATGGACGGTATTACCGCCTGTATGGCTCTCATGCAAGGATTGAGTATTCCCTGCATATGTGTTTTTAAAGTTGTCTGGAAAGCTCGAAGTAGAGGCTGACTCAGACAGCTACTTACTTCTCCTGAGCACGATGATTTCCCGGTGTCAGGGGTAGATTTTTTGTTACCCAGCGGTTGATACTCCCGGTAGGGTTTTCTCGGACCCTTCTAAGGCAGAAGGATCTTAGACCAGTCAAAAGTTGAGGCTGCCTTGTCCTTTGGATGTGGAGTTGGCTGCTTGACTGGCTTCCTCCTCTCTTGAGGAGTATTCCTTGCCGACTGACCCTTGCTTAGGCGGGCCTTGTTTTTGGTGATCAGATTCTTGATTTCACCCTTGAAACTAGTCATGAATTTCATGAGTTCGTCCCTGGGGAGGATCCGCTTGCCATCTGGGTTTCCCCTTCCAGCTGACCAGGGGGCCTGCTTGTCCCCGCCTGGCTTTCACCCCGTTCCAGAGTGTCTTTGGGACAGATGCGCCTAGAGATGAGTGAGCCATCTTTGGTCATGTATGTTTCGACCTGGGGATCTTCGTCCTCATGGTTTGTAAAGACCTCCGGCTGATTAATCGTAAGGTCAGGAGGTGGTATAGACTCTTGAACCATCCTTGAGGTACTCTCCCCACTGACGGCGCCAAATGTTTTGTGTGTTTTTGTCCCGTGAGAGAGTTACAGCTCAGAGACTGGTTGCACGCGCCCTGTACTTGCAAAACAACGGAGACTCCCGGTGTTTGGAGCTCCGCCTCTGACGATCAAGTTAGTACTTGAGTGAGAGTTGGAAAAAGTGCGAAAAAAGAGATGAGATCTCGGATTCCGAGATCAGGTGTTCGCTGATGTGAGAGAATGTAGGGTAGGTGTAATAAATGATTGAATGTGTCCCAAAATTGGGGGATATCTCCCTATTTATAGGGTCATTGGGGAACGTGTCCTCTTTTAGGTCATTTGACCTAGATTTGGTGCGTTGCGCCGTTTTGCGGCGTTCTTTGGAATTGGGCTTGAAAGACGCAATTCTTGAAAGCATCTGAGGCTGACACGTGTCAACTGACAATTGGCCCAAATGGACCTACCTATGCTTGATACGTGGCCCTCTCTAATTGGTCCACATGGACGGGGTATTTTTAACCAAAACTGTTTAAAATTCAAATTCTCTCCTTTTATTCTTAATTTTCTTATATTTTGACAATGACATGTGTTAGGATATTATTAGCTTTATCATTTCTCATTTAATTAAACAAATTTGTAATTTTACCTTTCTCCTCTTTTTTCCTCAAGTAGCTAAAATCTTATGTACTTTTTCCCATGCAACTAATGGCCATATTGCAATATTTAAGTAATGTAAAAAATTATCTTCTATAGGCGTAACATTTTAGGACAGTTGATTAAGAATACAAGCATCAGCATGTACTTATATACTATGAGCTAGAGGGAGTATAAAATTGCCCTAATATTTGTGGTATTTATCCTTTCCAAAAAAATTATTAAAAATAGAAAACAATAAAAATAAAATAAAATTGGTGTCTTCAACTGATCAAATCGAAAATTTCTTTTGAATTACCTCAATCACATTAGAAGATAACTCTTCAATGTGGACAGCCATGATCCAAAGGACCTTGATGTTTTTAATTTTTTTTCTGGCACAGTTACAACAAATTGTCTCACTTTCTGCAATCTGTAGATATTTGATGCTTTAGCAGCTTGTTGTCTAACTTCCTTAAAGCTGAAGGGCTTGTAGCACCAGTCAAAATTTTCTTTCTGCTTTTATCCTTCTCCGATGATGCAGCAAATAATAAGAGTGGTCTGTATGGAGTGCGGGGAACCATCCATCCCAACCTTAGGATGGTCCAAAGTATCCGAACCAAAGTAGATTTGTGTAGTGTGTACACTATATCGTGATTGAAGGAATTGAAGAATAAGACAGGACAAAGACTAGAAAGGGACAAGAGTGCACTCAAAGCTTTATTAGCCATCTCTCCACTTCATCCAACTTAATTGCAATTTGCAACTTGGAAGTGAAACAACCCAAATTCTTTGACTTGAACAAACCAAAGTAACTATGACCATGTCAGTTTGAGACTTTGAGAACTAGGTCATGCTATGAATTTGAGGCCTCTGATATCAAGAAAGGTATGCATTAGGTTAAACTCATGTCCAGCCACCGCCTCAACAATTCATCACAACTGGACATGCCAACAATGAATAAGCAGGTAAATATCATTCTACCTAGTTATTAAAGAGCTGAAGTGCTGATGCTTCTCATTTGCATCATGTAGTCAGCCGAAATATATGTTACCTCAACTCTACATTTATGGTATGTAAATGTGTTGGACACTCGTTCAACAAGACTAAGAGAGTGGAATCCTTGCCTTGGACAATTCAATTTTCAGCTCATCTCCTCAACAAATGTAAAAGGTGAGGGAAACGACAATAGAGAGCTTCTGTATATCATACAAGCTTAAAAATTAGAGATGAAGATTTTTAACTATAACTTGCAAGAAGCTGAACACATTAACTTCAAATGTGTTTAACCATATAAAGTGGGAAAAGTTTGTACAAATGTCTCTAAATGGAAAAAGAGTTATATGAATGTCGTATCTTCACATATGCCTCCAATTTATTGTGTCCAAAACTTTAAGCCCTATGATATCCAAGACTAGGAAATGTACCGAAACTTACACTCATACCCAATTCCAGTGGCATATTTGAGATATTTTAAGTGCACGGCATGTTCCAGAATTTTCTGACTTTATTATAGAGAGAAATTTTGGAAAAATACACCTGATACTAGATCATTAGCTCAATCTAGGAGAATGGACAATGGTTATTCCATAACCAGCAACACCCCATCCCAATACGATTCATATCAATATCAACATCACACCAGTCAATTGCAGAACAGGGACTCGGAAATAGCCAAATTACTGAGTATTTTTAATAACAAGACTCAAGTTCCAAACAAAAACATACCAAAGTTTGAGTAAAAATAGTACCTATCCTTGTACACTACTTCAGTTAAATTACAGGTCACAACATGTTTAAAATTAGAGCGTCTAACTTGCAAAAGTTCACCATTATAATTTATCAGATTTCACCCCCTCTCCCTCTTTTCAACAGAAATAACAGAGAAACGACATGAACACAGACTAAAAACATTCATTCACATAAATTCTCGTTTTCCACATAACAATACATCTATACACTAAGAATTTCAATGGGCTCTATATCCATAAACAACCACCACCATCGCCAGCATGAGCCCAGCGATACTCAATCTTCACAGAGCGATGCCATAAGTTCACGAGGGGAATCCCAAATTGGGAGATTAAAGTAATGTTCTTTTACCTTCTCCTCCTGGGCATTGCACAAGGACTCTGCTATATCACAAAGTTGCTCAAAGCTGTGTATTATTGCTTCCTGTGCTTCAACCTTAAAACACACAAAACATCCCCAAATTTAGTTGTAATCCAAATACAATGATAGAATATTCTGCAATAACACTACTAGCACAAACCCACATCACAAACACAAACCAAACTCCTCCAAATTACCAAAAATTCATTTGGTAATTCCCTAATGTTAAATGTCTATATTCAATTAATACCATCTCAAAGCAATTTTAATTCCAAATTTCTATTGAAATTCCACATTTTAGTACTCCAGTAACCAAATTATAATAATTTAATCTACAAAAACTTCAACAAAACCTAAAAATCTCAACCCTACAAATTCCAAAACTAAATATCTCAAACTACTAAATTTGAATTGAAAAATTCAAACAATAAGTTAGGTTTAACCTTAGAAAAAGCAATCACAGATTAAAAGGCATAAAACCACGAATTATTGGATGGTTACCTGCAAAAGAAGCTCATCAACCAAAGACCCAGAACATTTTTCGACTGAAACAACAGATGCAGACCCTTTACCACCCATTTCAAGAACCTTCCAACCTTCTCCCTCCTCGTCATCTTTCTCCTTAACCTGTTCAAGCTTAGATTTAGCACTATCTTCCATTGTCTTTAAGGTGTTCGACAAATTGTCCCAGAGACAAATTTCGGTTTGATATTTCTCCTTTAAGTTGCGCAAAGTTGCAAGTTTTTTCTTCCTTCTTTGCTTGAGTTGAAGAGCAGGATCTGGTACGGGATCTGGCGCACGAGGGAAGGAAAAAGGGTCGATGCGACGCTTCTTGCGCTTGTAGACGAAGCCATCGTCGTTGACGATTTCCCAGTCTTCGGGATCCCAGAAGGTTGTAGGAGTTGTGGTGGAAGCCGCCATTGATAAGAGCGGGAAAGAGCTTACACGCTGCTTAATAAAAATGGTTGTGATTCATTCTGTTCCATCAGTACGCACTTTCGAGTTTTGTACGAGTTAATTATTCCTCCGTTTTTTTTTAAAAAAAAAAAAATATCAACCCTAACATAACCTTTTTTTTTAAAAAAAATGTTGTGTCTAAAAAACCACCTTTTTATGATGACACCCCATTAATATATTTGATAAACTTTGGGCGTTTTTATTGTTAACTTGGCTTTCTGGTGATTGACATTGCATGCTAGGGATGATATGGTGGCTGGGTGATTTTGAAGGAATTATGTCTTCAATAAGTGCAATTACTAGATATATCAAGGATCACAATTCTGGAGATAATTAGTTCATTCTATAGGATGGTCGTTTTTTGGTGCTAGATATGACAATGGATCTTTAGGCTAGTTAAATAGTTCAAAATCTTATAGAATGGATCATATGAGGTCACACACAAGAGTATTGGGTTAAACAAGTTAAATAGTTCAAAGTCTTATAGAATGGATCATATGACATGCCACAGTAATTGTTGGGCTAGGATAGTTTGATGAGATTAGAATGTTTTGGGCTTGACATGGATTTATTTAGAGATAGGATCTTTAAATATAATCCATGCCTAGGGTTTCATGATATAACAATTAATTCAATGTTAATTGTGAACCAAGCAACAAACTCCCAAAATTCCAATTCTCTCCCCCTCTCTATCTCTCTCTCTCTCTCTTTCTCTCTCTCTCTCTCCTCCCTTCTCCGTACGGCTGGCCCTCATAGGCGACGCATGTGGTGGTTGTTTGGGTGGCTCGTGGTGTGCTCGTGACTCACATCTCCGTTGAAGGTTGATTGAAGTATTCGATCACAACTAACTAGCATTAGTAGAGGTTTGATCCGTGCTCGTGGACTTAGTAGAGGAATCACACGTGGGGTTCTTATTCTCCTTATTGTTCTTCCTCGATCATACGTGGAATCACACTATAAAGGTATTAATTCTCATTCTTTATATGTTATGCATGATCTTGGGATTAGGTGCTTTATGAATATGATTCATGTTTTCCACAATTAGTACCTATAAACTCCTACAATGGTATCAGTTAGCCTATGCATGTACAAATTGAATATTAATTCTTTGATAGTACACAATTTTAATTCAATTAGGAGGGATAATAATTTAATTGTGAGTCAACTATTATTTTAAATGAGATTTAACAATATAGAATCATTAAAAGTTGTTTAATTCGTTCCGAATTAGACATCAAGAGATCCGAATTCTAGTCCTAATAAGTTCGAAAATTCGAACACCCTAACCCTAAATTCGAAAATTTTGAAACCCTAAACCCTAATTTGTGAAATTTGTGCTTTGGTTTTTTATTTAATTCGATTGCTATATGACTAATGAATTTAATCCATTTGATTTCATGTTAAATTATGAATTTTCATGATCAAATTATTTAATTTAAGAGTTAAATTGAATTGGGATTAATATCATGAAGAACCCTAATTTCAAGATTGAATATGATTTAATTGTTAAATTAGTTGGTGTAGACACCTAAAAACTGTCTCCCCAAAACCAAACCCGATGATGAACAACCTTTCACCGTCATTATTGGTCGAGATGAGTATTTAATCTTGGAGTGCTTAAATCCATATTTCCATTTCATAAAACCAACCCAACTCCTATCCCATTTCCCCAAACCATAACTTATTTTCCTCTTTTCGTGCCTTTAAACCCAAAATAATTCATTTCGTGTCCTTTAAAATCATTTATTTCGTGTCCTTTTTATAAAAACGTTTAGTCCAGTTTATTTTGGTCCATTATCTGGGTAAAATGATTGAATATTTGGATGAGGTTGAAAAGAGCTTTCAAACGATATACTATAAGCCCAAATCCGAGTTATAACGAATAAGTTATGGCCAAAATATTAAGCCGAGCCCAAACCGAACCTAAGCCCACCTTACCTACGACCCAATGATCATGTGAAGGGTCCAAAAGCTTTAATCCCATCCATAAACCAATTAGGATTAATTAGAAACTTCTATAAGTTTCTAAAAGATCTTAATTATCCTTTTTGAAAAGATAAGATTAAAGAATTTGAAATTGAATAAAACTCCTTTTTTTTAAAAGTCCTAATTCTATTCGAATCGAAAGACGTTCAAAGATAGACTGATAATATTTTCGTTCCTCACATTTTTTATCCAAATTTTATATGGTTGGATAGCCCTTGAAATTATCTTTCCAATAATCATATAACTAATATATAAAGCTAAACTTTTAGCCAGGTCACGAGACAGTGACAATTGGCGTTCTAACTTTTCGCCAAGTGTCGCGCCATGTTGGATAGATTTAGATAGACTTCATAGGGTAAAAAAAATTAATTTAGAATTTTATTATTTCAATTAAATTTGGATAGAGTTTTAGGATAAAATTGTTAATTTAGAGTTTTATTTTCGATAAAAGACCAATATTTCAGATGTACAAATTGAATTATAATCTTATTCAAAAAATAGTATAGATTATAATTTTAAAAAATAATTATATAACTTTATTTTTAATATCATAATATTTTTTGGAGCGAAAGAAATAGTTCAAAACATAAAACATCCAATTCAAATATATATACTAATCGGTTAAAATAATATACTTCACAATCTAATACAATTTTATTACTATATAAACCATATCGGACTGGGTCACAAAGGTTACGGCCAAGAAATGTTCAACCCTTATCCAAAGTTTTGGGTTCGGTCAACCCAAAGTCCCAAAAGACTTTGTACATTGTTTTTATTAAATTTATGTTTTTTTTTTTTGCTAATTTTTAATTTTTTTATGTCATTTCATGTATATTTTAAAATTTGACAAATAGATTTAAAATGTATCTTAAATATTACACAGTAATAAACAACCCGGGCATCATACAGGGCACAAAACTAGTATGTTATAATATCAATTCCGAACTATAACGGAAAAGATATGAATAAAATGTCAAACTCTATCCAAAACTGACACCGTCTCACTATTTTGGCCATATCTTTCATTCTATAAAATATTTTAATCTGATTTAATTGGGTTAGAAGGTAGACTTCAAGAGCTTTTCAACGATATCTTATTTATCTTATTCCGATATCTGGATCAAAATATATGATAAAAAAAACCGCAAAAACTGCAGTCTATCGAGTTTTATTCCGATTTAATTCGGATCTTATCTTGTTTTTTCGACCCTTCTTTTTTCTCTATAAATAGAGGTCATATCTCCCCTTTTTCAATCATCAACAAGCTTGATCATCAAATAATTCTCTTCTCCCTCTTTAGCCTAAACATTAGCCTCCTCATTCTTTCACTATTTTTTCCTTTAAGCACGTCAAGGAGTCCATATAATACCCAAAGTTTTATACTTAAACCAAGGCGTGAAAGGTAAAATTGACTAAGGGTTTGGACTAAATCAACTCTACTTTTTATTTAATTGTTTCAATTTGATTTATATTTTAATTGAAATTACTAACAATTTATTCATGATGTAGCAATTTAAAGAAACTTGCGGAATGTGAGTAATTAATTAATTTAATTAATCTTATTTTATTTTAATATTGCTAGTATCATGATGGGTTATATTATATTTGATTTGACTAACTCTATTATTGTTAAATTGCTTCCAATATTAATGTTTACTCTATTGTTATAATGATCACTATATTGTATGTTCAAAAGGGAATATGTAATTGAAAATCACGCCTAATAAGATAATTTGGACAACCGGTTTAGGTTTTTTTTTAATCTTGTTATTTAATTCAAATGATCACAAATATTTTAGAATTATGTGTTGCATTAATATTTAACCAATTTAGCCTAATAATAGTTTGGAGCAAATTGAATATTTTGTTTGTATGCCTTTGATATCGCAGGAATCACTTTTCACTATAAGAATCGGGTAGAGGCTAATACGGGCGAATGTGACTCCATGACTCACTTCGTACCATCATCCCCGGTCCTCCTTTCGTGGTTCCGAACTATATGGAGTTAGTAATCTCTTGGATTATGAATGGGGTGTAACCTTCACGGGTCAATCGTTGTTGCCTATCGTTGTCCCTTTATCGTGGTTGCCTTTTATGATCCGTGAACGGTTTACAAGTTCCTTAAAAACTTGTTGGCGGCTCCCTACTTTCCTTGTCCCTAATCGTATACGTTAATTCCCACTTCCTAAGAGTGCCAAGCATATTCACACAAGTTTTAACGTAGGCGCACATCGAACGACGCCTACAGTTGGACCACATTAAGTTATTTTAATTTTAACAAAAATTGTTATGTTTTATTTAAACTAAAATAAAAAAAGGTTTTATGATCGGTAGCCGCGACTAGGTGGCGCAGCCACGGCGGCTACCGCTATAGGTGGTCCGGAGGGAGGGTTGCGGTGGGGCAGCAGGTCGGGTCAGCAAGACCAGCAACAATGCAAAGGTTGCGCGACACTGATGCTGTTGTGCACTGCTGCAGAGCAACGTTCACCTCATGGTGTACGGCCACCGTGGCCGGCTTTGGCTGGCCTCACCATGGTGGCTGGCGCACTGTTTTTAAAAATATAGATATTATTTTATTACAATAAAAATCATATTTCAAAATTAAAATTAAAGGAAATAAGTTTTGACTTTTAAAAGATAATTAACAAAGTTAAAGTGGTTAATTTTGTTAAGATTGGATAATTATGGAGCAAAATATTCTATATGGATAATAATTGATTAAATAATGAGATTATCCCATAATTATTTTTGGTTAATAATTGATTTTAAATTATGAGATTGGCTAGGAAATTAGGATAAAATCTCCTAAATTAGTTAGGATAATCATGGAAAATAAATATGATTTATCTTCCATAATAAAAATATGATTTGATTCTATCTCTTACCTAAAATACAGTATATGATATTTTATGATTGGTTAGAAATAATATGTGACATTATCTAATTGCAGTAATTAATTAAAATATGAGATATTTATAGTCTTGTTTCTTTAATTATGAACATTTGATGTTGTAGTTTAGGAAAGCATGATGAATGATTTATTATGTGGCACTTTATAATATATAATATTATTTATTGCTATATATAGACTATTATGGCCCAT